CTAAGAAAACTGAAAATGCTGCGGGTACTTAACATATTTACGTTAACAATGTTCTACTGCTAACAGCAATAATTACTCTCGGAAACATTATCAAATTAATGAGCCAGTGCATAACGCGGTTGCCATGGATTTTCATTAAAAATAAATGCATTGTATATATAGTCGAATCTGTACCAGGAATGAGTATAATTTAATAATTATTCAATGGACGTGTAAAAATATGAGATAAATAATATTATTAAATAAAAAATGCGTGCAATCTCGCTGCCCAGCGGCCCGTTCAGAATATAAATCCCTCATCTCTAAATGACAATGTTGCCGCGTAGGGTGGAATGAAGCACTATGCATTAAAATCAACGACTTTTTCTCGTAAATAAATGCGAATTTTTCACGGCCAAAATTTGCAGTAGATATCCCTTCATTTGAGATTTTAATTCAAATTGGCGGTAATCACGTATAAACAAAGATACTGCGTATTTCTTCACAAGTAGTCATTAATTTATTAACATAAAGTATGAAAAACCCTTGTTGTGCTTGTTTTATACAACGGTATTAAACAAATATTATTGACACGTTTACCTACAAAAAATTTTACCATGATATAATGTCCCCACGAAAATTTGAAAGCTATTTGGATTGAAAAAGAGAAATTTGTATCGGTCAAGCAGTCCCCTTGACTCTTAAGGTTTTTACCACTTGTAATCAGGTGGTAAAAGCTTTAAGGCTTTAACCACTTGTGATCGAGTGGAAAGTACAGGTTGTGAAGGAAAGCTCTCCTTAATTGAGGTTTTCTCGCTAGATGAACGTCACGTCTCTCGCGCCGGCAACCGAGCCGCACTTCTGGCCAAGTCCTGACTGATTGTGCCGGTAAGCCTCGCTCGTGATTATTGACATGTCTTTTCTTTGTCTTCACGTTAATTTGGTTAGATGCAAATTGCAAAATTTTTATGGATGTTAAGTAGAATTAAGTGTTTTTTCTTGCCTTAAGAGCTGCGTGTCTTCTCTTACATTCGTGTACTGCGGAACTGGGCTGTCACAGTCGGATAACAGAGTACTTCTGGACAGTGAGGTATGCTACTTATCTCGACTCTGTTCTGTTCCCCCAAGCGGTCTGCTCACTGATTTACGACCCAGCGCGGAAGCATGCAGTGACCTGACGCTGACTTCGTTCCTTTTGTCGAAGGTGTGCCGGTGGGCCTGAGTAGCGCTGCTAACTATTTCGCCTCCAGAGCCCTCTTTTGTTCCCAGTTACTATACCGACGCTGATCCGCCGCTACGCTTTTCCCGGTGACCCCCCGGTGACCCCCTTTAGTTGAGCAGTCCTCCCTGCCTTGAGCTGAGTGAGCGGTTGAGCGCACGTGTTCAGCTCGCGCTCAACACGTGTTCAGCTCGCTGTTCAGCTCGCGCTTCAGCTTTGATGATAGTTTCATATGAATTTAGCTAAACATTTTCGTAGGCACCGCTGGAAACTTGTCTGGCGTGCTAGTTTTGTTCGTCTAGGTTTTGACTTTTTCGTGTTCTATCCTAAATCTTAAGTAAATTATAGAATGATCAGCGGCTTTCACTTCCTGAATTTCTTAAACACTTGGTGTTGCTACCTGATATGATGAATTAAGCCAGTAATTCAGAGATAATCAGTAGCAATTCAGATGATCTTTTATTTAAATGTGACGCACGTCACCAACTCCACGAAATAATTCGTCACATTATAACGGCACATTATAAAAACAATGAATACATGAAAAAATATAACTCAGTACTCACTGCAGTGAGTGACAGAGAGCGCATTTTCTCGTTGACGAAAACTTGAGGTCACGGACAGACGGACGGACAGACAGACAGACAGACAGACATGGCGAGCACCATAGTGCATTTTTTCCATAAATGAGAAAATGCGCTAAAAATCCACAAGTTCATAGGCAAGTTGGCCTCGTAATGCAAAGTCAACTCAGAAAACGGAAAATGTTGCAGGTACTCAACATGTTTGCATAAGCAATGTTCGCTTGATATTATCAACATTGATTGTTCTCGGAAACAACATGAAATTAACGGACAATTATACATCAAGGTTACAATTTTCATTGAAAAATAAATGTACTGGATATTTAGTCGACTCTGTAGCAGGAATGAGCAAAATTCAATAATTATTTAATGAACACATAAAAATATGAGATAGATAATATTATTAAATTAAAAATGTGTGCGACCTCGACGCCTAACGGCGCGTTCAGAATTTCAATCCCGCATTCCTATGTGACAAATTGTTGCGTAGGGCGGAATGATGGCACTATGCATTAAAATCTACGATTTTTTTCTCGTTAATAAATGCAAATTTTTCACAGCCTAAATTTGCAGTAGATATCCCTTCATTTGAGGTTTTAATTTTAATTGACGGTAATCACGTATAAACAAAGATACTGAGCATTTCTTCAAAAGCTGGTATTAATTTATCAAAATTAAATATGAAAACCCTTGTTGCGCTTGTTTTATACAACGGTATTCAACAAATATGATTGACACGTAAACCTACAAAAAACTTTACCACGATTTGATGTGCCGACGAAAATTTGAAATTCATTTGGATTGAAAAAGAAATATTTGTATTAGATAGTTAAGCTGTCTATGACTCTGACCTAAAGGCTTTGATCACCTGAAGTCCTAAACTCTGTATGGCAGGTAGAGGAGTTAGGTGATAAGGAAATAATATAAAAGAGATAATTTCAGTGAGGTCCACCACGTTCATATATTATTTTCTCAGTTTTAGTACGCCTCATCAAGCATCGTAAAAAGCGAAACATTTATAAAAACCAATTAATGCTTCTAGGTGGGAACTTAAAACCAGGAGCCTTTACTTCCAAAAATAGTCCGAAATTCTTACCCTCAGTCAACCAATCACTGACGGTTTCTCAATCTAAACCCACCAATCACAGACGAGAAATCAGGTGCTACGTGTACTTAAACAATTTTCGATAGTACGGCTCTGATTTAATGCCACAAATGTTTACGCCACAAACTCAGTGAGTGAGAACACCGTATGATTTTACGTCAAATTCGCACGCCGTGTCTGTGGCGCAAAGGCAGCGTGGGTTCGACAACGGTCAAATGCAGGGAAACCTACACTCAGGGAGACGAGTGAGACTTGGTTCTAAAATCCAAGTAAATTTTGCCAATTTGGGTGTCATACTGACCCAGTTTGGCACGGCAGAAAGGACGCATCAATGTAACGTGCAGAAAAAGTGTCACTAATTGGACAATGTGACCCAGACATTTTCTGAGTGTGCCGCGTGCAGTGGTGTCAGACATCACGAAGCTGACGATATTCTTGTATAATGCATTAATTTCTTAGAAACTTGGGGTTGCCACCTGATTTTATGAATTAAGCCAGTAATTCAGAGAAATTCAGTAGCAATTCAGATGATATTTTATTTTAATGAGACGCACGTCACCAATTCCACGAAATAATTCGTCTCACGGACATTATAAACACAACGAATGCATGAAAAAAATCCACAAGTTCATAGGCAAGTTGGCCTCGTAATGCAAAGTCAACTCAGAAAACGGAAAATGTTGCAGGTACTCAACATGTTTGCATAAGCAATGTTCGCTGGATGTTATCAACATTGATTGTTCTCGGAAACAACATGAAATTAACGGACAATTATACATCAAGGTTACAATATTCATTGAAAAATAAATGTACTGGATATTTAGCCGAGTCTGCAGTAGTAATGGACAAAATGGAGTTGTTATTTATGAAAATAATAAAACACAAAGTGATTAATATCATTAGTTTGTAAATGTATGCCCAATGCTACCTCAGCGGAACATTCGAAATTTCATTACCCCATTTCCAAGTGAAAATATTATTGCATCGAGTGAAATTGAGCACTGTACATTTATAATTTACACATATTTTTCGTTAACGATTGCCAATTTTTCACAGTACCAACTTGCATTAGATACCCCTATTAACCAGAGTAATTTGAATGGGAGGCTAGCACTCATTAACCAAGGTGACGAGCAAAATTTCTTCACAAAAAATCATTATTTATCAAAATCAAATGACAGAAAAATTCGTTTGCTTGATTCATAAAACGGTTTTCAACAGGTTTACCTGATACGTTAACCTACAAAAAAACATGCTATAATTTAATGCCCCGACAGAAATCTGAGACAGTTTTTGGATTGAGGAAGAGACATTTGTATTAGAGAGTCAAGCGCTGCGTCCTTGGCTGTAAGCTTTTGTTTCACCTGAACGAACGCGGGTGCCTTGGAGTGGGTAAAGTGTTGGTGCACTTCACTCCTCCAAGGCACCCGCGTTCGTTCAGGTGAAAAATCCCCCAAATAAAACGGATCTAGAAAGAATAGTATCTAGGAAAGTGCTTCACCACCACTAATTTAAACGAACTTAGTATGAATAGTCGGGGAGTTTACGTCCACACTATTATTTTGCCATTTTTAGACAGCCTTATCAAGTATCTTAAAAAGAGTAACTTTCATAAAACCTGAAAATGGGTTTTAATTTGGAACTACACCACTGAATCAGCCGTGGTAATAAGAGGCCTTACTCTCAAAAATAGTTGTGAATTCGTACCCTCTGTCAACTAATCACTGACGGCTTTTCATTCTGCACCCTACAATAACAGACGAGAAATTATCTGCTACGTGCACTTGAGCAAGTTTTGAGAGTACGGCCTTGACCTACTTCATATTTTTATGAAGTTAGTTGAATGAATATATTCCAGGATGAAGCTTTTCCGTTAACGATGTAGCTGGACGATCAAGGAGGCAGATGCTCAATAATTTTCATCAATAATAATATGCCAGATTTTAACACGATGCACGCTCGTTCCCTGTGTGATTGAGGCGTAATTCTGCGGAATTGAGGCAATGGGTTGCGGTTTTGCAGCGTTGTGTTGCAGAATTCAGGCAGTGGAGTATACATGGTACACATGACACTGAGTCATACAACACAGTGTATAAATTGACACACAACTCACCCGCCACGACGATGCCGAGGGTGACGTGTTCTTTCCTGACGAGGCTCACGGTGCTGGTGAGACGCACCTCCTCTGTGGGGACCAATAGTCATACATTTAATTTTTAATTGAGCTAATTTAAGCGCGAAAAATTATTCACTAAATAACTGAAAATAACATATTTATTAACTTCCAAGCTCAAGGCAATTGTGCGTAATTGTTTGAAATTAATCTTGTAAAAGCGTCTTTAAATTCAGTTTTGCAAAAGTATACATCATTTGGGGCTTGCGAGACGGGTTTTCACGATATGTAACTATAACAGTTACAAATATAATGCAACTTTCTAATTGAAAAACAGGACATTCGTAACAATGATACATATTTTATTTTCTTTAGGCGAGCTTGGCTGGAGACCAGAAAATGCGTTTTATTGATAATTTTCCTGTTCGTTTTTATCGTATCTTTTTTGTTGTTTAGAACAAGAATAAAAAAATTATCAATAAAAAGCATTCACTGGTCTTTAACAAAACTTGCATAAAGGATGAACTTTTGCCTAACTATATTAAAATATATTATCCAAGCTGCCCATAAAATGTCAATAATATTTTTAAAGTTTGTGTGTTTGGAGTCACTATATAGAGGCTGTTTAGGCGCGCATCCTGGATACTTTCGTATCAGGATACTACTAGGACCTTAAATTTTATTCATTGAGTGAGGATAGCAAAACATTGCAAAACTTATAGGAGCATATATCGAGAGTCTGATCATTAATTCAAATTTGATTTTTAATGTTATTATTTCTGAACATTTATTTAAAAGACCAAAAATACCTTTTTGGGAAAAAGACGGGCCATGCAAGGAGATTCTTTGTTATGTGTAACACAAAATATGCGTTTGAATGGGCCTTTTTTCAATTAACATAAGTTAGTTTTATCATTATTTAGAAATTGCAGAGGTTGTCGGAAGCGACAATCCCATGAAATGAACCATAAATAATCTATTTAGGTTAGTGTAAAATAAGTAATAAGTAATATAAATAATAATTAATATAAATAATAAATACGATAAAAGACTCACCTGGGATGACGGAAGCTCGCAGGCGCTGCATCTCGACAGCGTCGCGCTCTGGGCCGCCCTGAAGGCGGGGGCCTGCTGACCGAAACATTTCCGTGAATTAAGTGATAAAAAATTACGTAAAATAAACAGTTATGAATTATTTTATTAAATAAAAGTGATGAACAATGTCATACACAAAAAGGAGATCGATAATGTCACACAATCGCACACAAATTACACAGATGATATTCGCGATACACAGGAAACAAAAACCCGACAGGATGCCCGTAGAAAACAACTGAAAAACGTGAAACAAGATATATACATTATACAGAAGATGAGCATGACTCAAATGAAACAAATAAAGCATATTATACAAATGAAACCCAACATACACATGTCACATATGAAACGCTAGATCCACTTGACGCAGCTCAAACATAACATTTGACTCATACGAAACACACGACCTACCCACATATGACACAGACGAAACACGCATGAAACATTAAAAACAAATTTCGTTATGAATCAGAAAACAGACTTTTTTAATACACACTTTCGACCCACGAGGCGTGGGAAAAAAATGAACATCCCGCAACTATGTGAAAGTAAATATATTTAAAAGATGCTGCCTATTGCAATATTTTTTTTCAAAACAAAAATAAACGATAACCGTCGAAAACAACAATTTGTGTAAGCAAAGGCAACATTTTTCTGTTGTATGAATATCACAAGAGTGGAGATATAAGTGTACCAGATTCAGGTGGTAACAGCTGGAGCAACAGCTGGTGAAGCATCAACATATACGACGGGCAAATGGCTGAACGATCTACTGTATCATGTAAAACTGCATCCTCGTAAAAGGATCGTTGATATGATTAGCTTATTGCACTTACGTTAACGTATATGTATAGATATATCTCGTATGTAAACACATATCTCCTATTCTCGCTGATTGATTATTAAGATTATGGACAGATTAGCAAGTAGTACTCTCGGTAGTTAACACTATTTTATATAACTGTAACGGAGGTATAAAGATATCACAAAGGTATAAAGGTACTAAAAAGGTCAACCTGCAGGTAGAACGAAGGTTGCCAAAAAATTTGGATGCCATGTTAGCTCAGGGAAAAATATGGATATAGTTAGCCCCTTAAAGCACTAAGCAAATGAAATAGATACGTTTAGTTTACGTTGATTCATTCTCAGATGCTTGCGGTGGGCTCATAGTCAATCGCTACTCAAGTTTAAATGCACCTTATTATTATTTGTTCATTTGAACCGAAATAAAATATAAGTAATTCGATAAAAATTCAAAAGCTACGCAAGATAGAAAATTTTTCGACAAGCAGGGCTTCATTCCTCAGCGTAAACCCCAAACTTACTTTTTGCATTCCCGAGCGGCAGCCCCGAAGGCAGCATAGACTTCAACATCTTCATCGCGCTCTATTATTGCTCACTATCTATCCATAACACAGTGATAACATAGTCACAATATCAGTCCAACGAAAGCTGGACAAAATGATATTACAATTATAGTCCTGATGCTTACCAGTCGATATAGTCGGAAGTTAAACGATCTATCAAGTCGGACGTAAAAAATACAAAATACAACTGAAGTTTCGAGTAAGTCCATAATTTAAGCAATACATTACCAACAAAGAATAGAAGTTATAAACTAACCGAACGACATATGAACAGGAATACAATGCTGCAAGGTTACTACTCTAATACACTATAGTCTCTTCAGCGCTATGCAATGCAATCTAAACTCCAACCAAAGTCCAACAAGTTCACTTATGTTTTGTCTACAAACCAAACAATATAAAAATTATGATTCACAATAGGATTGAAGTTCTTTTCTATAACAATTGACTTTTCATCAGTAGATCAAATTTGCCGTCAAATCTCGAACATAACATTAGGTATGACGTATGAGATATTACATTTGTTCGTTGCTTGGTTTTTCGTTTACGTCTCATTCACACTAAAACGAAAACTTCTTCGTTCTTGGTTGTATCGTGTTCATAGTAAGTATATTTTAAACACATTTAACATATAATTCAAACATAGTGCAGCTGCACACCACCTTCACCCATAGCCACTCATCTTCAACTGAGGCTCAGGCATAGCAGTGATGATAGCACGAGAAGAAAAGTGACTCGGAAATGACAAGAAGCAAGACACAGCAGAGCACCACATGTTGGCTTGCAAACTCAGCAGTTTAGTGTCATCGCATGCTTTAGCTTGATGTTTTTGCCTGCCTTTATTGCAGGTGCTTTGCCAAGTAATTCTGTATATTGAGTATAATTAGCTATTCATGCTTAAAGTCATATATAAGTTAGTTGTACAGTATAGCCTTCGTGCAGGGAGCTGGGTGAAAAACAGATCGAAGTCAGCTATGCATTCTCGGAAATTCCTATTCGTGTTCGTAACTTCTGTTGTGGTCATAAATGTGTCGTAGGGAAATGTGTCATGTTTTGTTTGAGACACTAATCTGATCAAAAAAGCATACGTATTTATTCTACCGATGGTAAAAGTGACTCACTCATCCACCACTGCGTATTTTAAATAAAGCTCATATACGTAGAGCATTTTATTTTGTTATATGAAGGAAACTTTTACAGTACTACATTCTAAAAATAATTTCAAAATCAAAAACTGAAAATCAGTCATCAAATCGAAATTTTATTGTAGCAAATTGATTTACGACGACAGCTGGCGCAAAAAAAAAATCTGAAAATTTATGTATAAGAAACATGCTGAATTGCGGGACATCATCAATATATGAAGCCATGTAAATTATATCAGTCCGCTAGGTATTTAGTTTATGTCATACGTCACGTGACGTGTATCGATTGCCTAAACTTGCATGTTATTGAGATTGTAGCGCGACAACTACAATGGGGCATTCATTGATCTCCTGGATAGTATTGTTTGTATTCCAATACAGGAATTGGTATCTTGTCAAGAATCTTCTTTCACAGGACGTATAATCCTATTGTTGGCGTCACGGGATGCCCATTGCCAATACCAGGCGAATGACAATCGTTATTGTTCACTACAAATGATGAGTTCTCAAGGTGGATGAGAATGCATATTGTTGATGCCCATACACGAGGAGAAACCTCGCAGGAATTGCCCGCTGCTCGACTTTATTGCTTAAACGAGGAGGATCCATGGCCCAGTGATCAGAGATAGCTGGGGATGATCAGAGATAGCTGGGGATGCGCTGCAGCCCCATTTTAGGTGGTAGACGATCACCCCGGCGTGAGGTGGCATACAAAGAACGTTCGTGTTCACGTCACATCGTCTAACCTACCTTTGAACTTCTCACGTATTAAACATAAACGAATAAAATTCGTTAAAAAAATAATAATAACAATAAATATAAAATAAAAGGATTGATAATATTATATTAATCAGAGTCTGGAAGCTAGTTAATTATGTTACATAGGTAATCAAAATGTAACGTTATTTTTTTCGAGGGTACTAGGAAGCTTAAAAATCTTATGCCGACGAACAGGGACTGTCATGGTTGAACTAGTATGTAGGCAGTAGTTCAACCATGGGAACTGCATTGAACTGACCTCGGAAATCTGTGTACGTTCATCTTTTAAAATACATAAAAATAAATGTTCAATAAAAAAAGAATAAGGAAATTTTACGAATTTTAATCTTTTTAACTGCACAATAACGTCATCTAAATTGGTAGTAATTAAAAAAAAAACATGAACAAGATGAGATTCCAGTCTGGACAAAATATTACGTTAATCATCTACTTAAATTAAGAAGAAAAACTATCATGAAATACATAGTTTTGAAGACAAACAACAATCAAGCGTGACTTACCAGCATCAATAAAGTTACAATTTCTACAATTAAAGTGCTCATCACACAGTGTGCTGCAATGCTCATCATAAATCTTTGCCAGTTATTCGAAAACAATATCAAGGATTATCCATTAATTGAAAAGACTATATGGTTCTGGCCAGCCAATGTATTAGCAATTTATTTCACAAATTTGATTGGTCTGAACTCAGGCATTTGGGGCCGTGCCGTGGACCAGACAACAGCCCCGACATCTTGGAGGTCTCATATGAAGCACGCTCGCGGCTCGGATATCGCGGAGCGTCGTGTTTCATAGTCCAACCTCTAAGGAAACGTTTTCTTCGCGGAAAGTATCAGTAAGAAAGAAAACGACAAATTGTTGGATAAACTGAACGAGTTTTGAAATGAAGTAACTTAATTTCAAAAATTAAATTATTGGATCAACTGAATGAGTTTCAAAATGAATGAACTGGAGTTGCATTAATTAACGGCTTAGAAATCGACTTGATGACAAAGAAGGGTTCAAATTGCAGGGAAAGAAGTTCCGTTTCGAGTATCTTCTGTGTTCTTTACTGAACGGGAGCCGATATAAATTAAATTCGAGGAGACTAAAATGCGAAGATGAAAATAAAACTTCTTGATGAAATATTTCCAAATTTCAGGCACAGTAATAAACAAGAGCTTGATGAACTCGATTTTAGGCACCATTAAAATAGACAAAGACATCAAAATTTTATTTCGATAGTTCAAGCGGATCATTAACGTATAAACAATCTAACTTATCATATAATTTGAAGATAATAATGCACAGAGATCGAGATTCTAGCACCATTACCACCACCTGGCCGCTGCTATCAAACTCAAAAATCTGCAATGTATTTCTGACCGCACTCTAGCCGTGCTATATTTATAACTTGATTAAATATCTACTTGTAACGACATGTCAGGTTACGTTTTAGTAGCTTTTAAGCTCCTAAATTCCTGCCTATATCGTCGATCACGTCTGAGTAGCAAAAATAAGTGTCGTGTGAAGGCATAAGTTGGCTAAACGAATGCTTGAGGCGGCAGTGAGTTACAGGAACTTGCCAGCAGCTTGAACATCTGCAAGTTATATACGAGTTCATTAAATATACAAATAAGATTTCCAACTGATACATACGGGCTTCACACTGACAGAAATATACGCTGACTGTGCCAATAATGACACCAGAAACGTGAGTGAGATGCAATCATTGTTTTGAAATACCAAATTCAATAATTACTCAGATAATATCGCATTACATTATCTTCATTTAATGTACTACTACAATTTTTAACGCTTATATCACATCCATGATCATCGATTTACAAAACGCATTGTATTCACCAAACCGCAACAAAAATTGTATTAAATCTCATCACGCGCGTTGTTTAAAATGTGTACATATCAGAGCATTTTCACTAGAGTCTTCCAAAGAGAAGTTAGTTGTTGCCAACACTAATACACGTTGCAGCCGCTTTAAAATTTTCGTCTGCAAGGAATATAATTGAATTTTATTGGCGTATGTTCACTTACACAATCACTGGTAAATTCTGGATGAAATCTGATCAAAAATGTCATTAATTTTAACGTGTGATTGCCACTCTCGTTGCCGTGACTAAAAGTACTGATATCGTTACTGAACTGTCAATCTATACCTCCTCTGATGGCTGCTCATAATACCATTAGGAAATATTCATAATGCCTCCTTATAATGCCAGTTACATGCAGAGTTAAATACTTTAATGCCTACATTCGAAGCTACGCTACAAGTATTGACAAAGTTACTGCACGGTCAATTAACTATTTAATAGACAGAATATTCAGGAGTGGTCTTCTAATAATCTACAAACTAAAGCAACGTGGGACGGAGAGACGCTCCTGTCACCATCAGCAGCAGATCAATGAAAGTAACGTAATTTCTCCTCATAAATCTTGAAGCTAATTACCATTCAGGAGTCACATTGAGCAGGAATATACATATAATGTCTAATAATATATATATATAATATATATATATATTAATGAATATATAATGTATAATAATATATATATATTATTTATTTATATAATATATATATATATATATATAAATTATATATAATATAATAATGGCAGGAATATAAGCTGGACTCGAAATCGTCGCAAAATTTATGATCAATCAGGGAATTTAATAATAACATCAGGCTCTTAAGCCTTCAATAATTGAGAGGAATAATTCATACATATTCTGCATGATGATATTCTACAAACATTTTTCAGCATGATGATTTTGGAAGCTCGGTAACCGTATCCTATCATTCCAGCATAATGATCATGGAGGCTTAATATCGAATTATTATTTCAGCATGCTGATCTGATGACAGCAAAGATCTCATATCATAAGATGACTTAAGTATGATGGTCATAAAGATATCATATCTTTAAGATCACTTCAGCATGATGATGACGAGTGTAAGCTAAACTTAAGACACACTCAGCTGCTCAGTATTTGAAAACAAGGCTTAATTTAGTTTTCGCGTAAGTGTCGCAGTTTCGATCAACAGTCACAGCTCAGCACGGAGAGCCGAGAGCGTGAAAACATTTTTCGCTATGTTCATGAGCTGCACATCCCAAACGCGTCTGATAAACAAGTTTTCTTAGTTATTTGCTAGCCTCTTTCAATAATACTATTGAATTTAATATTCTATTTTTGTATAGTCCGTTCTATTATTCCTCTC